ACTCCAATTCCTCACTTCATTATTCAAGGCTGGTCGGGCGTATCGCCGGTAACCTGTATAGATCAGCCTTCTCTTCAGCTCACCAGGGTTTCGACGGCTGTCCTGCGGGCCAACACCCCTTGGTGTGCCGCTTACTTCGGGGTCCACATCTGTCGCGTCCCCCCAGACCTCGATATTATACATGGGACGTTTCCTGCGTCTTGTCACTGTTTACTTTTTTACTGGTTCTGGTGACTAATTTACCTCACATTAAAGGGACACTATAGAGATTAGTGCCACTAATAATATACTGGTTTGCCTACTTATCACCAGATGAGGACAAGAGGATGATGATGGGCTCAGGCTGCAGTCTGTCTCCATTGGTCTGGTGTTAAAACAAGCTCTCTGGAGGCAGTACTAACAAAAATCTACGAAACGGAAGCAGCTCCATTTTTTTTTTGAGACCCTTTACACAGCACAAGGTCTGGGCCCCCAGGGCCTGACCGTGAGTATGCCTACAAGGCCCACCCAGGAGTTCGCTCACAGGGAGTGGAGTGTATGTGTGTGTTCTTATGGAATGGAATGTATAGGGATGCAGTGTGTGTGTGTGTGTAAGGTATACATTGTGTGAATCTGTGTTTGCATGTGTAAGGGATGCAAGGTGTGTTTCTGTGTATGTAATGCAGTGTGTGTGTGTAAGAGATGCATTAAGAGAAGCAGTGTGTGTGGGATGCAGTGTATGCTTCAGTGTATGTGTGCAAGGTTGCATTGTGTGTAAGGGAAGCATGGTGTGTGTCTGTGTGTGATTGTAGGATGCATTGTAGGTTTTGGCGTGTCTGTGTGTCCCTTAGTGCTCTCCCATGGCCTTTAGTCTTCCACCAGTCCTGCATGACAAATCTGTCATTGAGGGATGGAACAGTTTCAAAGACAAGGGTTTGCCAAATGTCCGTTGGTAGAACTACAAATCTTATGATGCCGGCAAAGCATCACGGGGCTGTATTTCCACAATATTTGGCTACTCTAGTTTAAATGGACACTATCATCACTACAGCTTAATGTTCCTGCAGGTTTTTAATATAAACACTGCCATTTCTGAGAAAAGGCAGTGTTTACATTGCCGCCTAGTAACACCTCAAGTGGCAGTCACTCAGACGGCCACTTGAGGCAGTGGCGTCTCTAGGATTAATTTTTAGGGGGGGGCGCATGGTTAAAAAACACACATTTCCCTTGATACAGTCCATACACACACACACACACACACACACACATAGACTGCAGAGTCCACACACAGACTTCTGAGTCCATATACAGACACTGTCCATACAGTCCACAGTCCATACACACAGACTGCTGAGTCCACACACACATACAGATTGCTGAGTCAATACACACACACACCTGAGAATATCAAGCCTACCTGTTGCGGGGGTCAGACAGCCATCTTCTTGCCTTTCCAGCAGCAGCATGGTCTGCTGCTTAACGGTGGGGGCGGGGCTTCATTTGGGGCGGGGCCTGTGCCAGGGAGCCTGTCAGTGCTCCCTCCAGCCACAGACAGCCCCCAGCACCGTTCCAGCTGAGCTCCTCTGCCCTGCATTCCCTCCCCCGGGCTGTAACACACTGTTACAGCCCGAGGGAATAGAATGGAAGAACAAGGCCAGCAAGTTGCTGGCATTTGGGGAGGCCCAAAGGGGGGCACAACATTATGTAGGGGGGGCCATGGTCCCCTCTGCCCCCCCCCCGCGACTTGAGGTGCTTCCTAGTCCAGTGCAGTACCTACATTGCAGCTTCTCCACCCTCTGCATGGAGATGCTGAATGTTCCCTGTTTTGCAGCACATGTGCAATAGTGTCACAATGTTTTCCTATGAAAAAACATTACATTGGCTGAGATAATAAGCCAAGCAGGAGAGACGGTCACCTAAACACCAGTCTAGAAAAACAAAAATATAAGTTGCGCCACAATAGAGACAAATAATATGATATAATAAAACCAATAGTGTACTTACATGCTAAAAGACAAGATATTTAAAAAGAATAGTCCTGGTAATAAAATATATAAAAGAAAGAAAGTTCCAAGGATTTGAGTGCCGTATGGATATATGGGACGTAGAATTTCTGAGATAGTTGGTTGTTCAAGTTCAGTAGGGGCACGTATATAAAAAAAGAATTCTAATAGTGTAATCTGTCTCTGACATAGGTAAGAGGAGATTAGCAGCTGTGGTAGAAATCCTACTCACCTTTTAGAGAGCTAGTACTATCTCAGGTGTAACTGGCATTCAGTGGCGTCGATCCTCCACTGGTAGGATGTAGGTGTTGGTAGGCGGTGGAGGTCCTCGATATGGAGAAAAAGATAAAACCAAATATAGTGCTCACTGTATATATTAATCAGGAGGTTAGTATAGGAAAGGTATAGTACTCACATTAAGTGAGCAGGGTATAGGGCTTTAGTACTAAAATCCAACCATACTTTTTGTCGCCCTTGGGCAAACAAGAGATGAGGAATCGCTCCCAGTCTCTGTATTCATCTGTGAATGTCCTTAACATTGTTTGAGGGTACAGTTAAAAAGCTCACAGAGACCGTTGTCAGTCTGGGTGTGGTATGGGGAGCTGAGTAGGGGCTTAATACCACAGACCTTCCATAACTGATGCGTGAGGTCTGCAGTAATTTGTGTCCCTTGGCCAAACAGAATTTCTTTAGGGAAACCCACTCTAGTGAGTATCCCGACCAGCGCACTGGCAACAGTGTCTGCCTGGATATTGCAGAGAGCAATGGCTTCCGGATTACAAGTGACATAATCCACCACGGTAAGGAGATATCAGTTACTCGATGGCCTGTTTCTTTTCAGGGGTCCCACCAGATCAAATGCTGTCCAGCTGAAAGGTTCTTCAATGATCGTCATGGATAGCAGTCGAGCCTTGGGATGATCCCCTCTCTTCCCTACCCTCTGACAGACGTCACAGGTCCTGCAGTAGTGTCGCACATACTTAGACACCCGGCCAAAAGAAGTGCTGGATTACTCGATGGGATGTGCGAGTTACTCCCAGGTGTCCTGCTAAAGGGATATCATGCCCAATTCGGAGAAGCTCCAACCGGTAATTCCTTGGTACTACCAATTGGCGCTTCTGCAATGGGGTGATTCCTGTGCTACGGGTGTCTGACACCCGGTACAGTCTATCTTGTTCCCAGATAAACTTTTCCCCCTCTAATCCCCGTTGCTCGGTCACTGCCTTAGTTCTATACTCTGCAGGGTTGGATCGGCTCCAGTCTCTCTCCCAAATTCCTCTGGGGCAGTGGCGGACTAAGGGGGTGCGGAGGGGGCGGCCTGCCCCGGGTGCCACCTGGTAGGGGGGTGCCTTGACTCTGGTCTTGGGGCTGGAGGGGGCTGTGTGAAACCCCAGGTGCCATGGGGCACAGCTCACACAGAGACCAGCAAGATGAACTGGCCGCACGGGAGGATTACGGGGCGGGGCTATGTTCGTTTAGGGGCGGAGCCTAACTGCAAATGGAGGCGGTGCTTAACATGGCCCCTACAAGCTGCTCTAACTACTGCACATGGAGGTGCAGCAAGCAGAAATCCCTGCTCCTCCACCTCCAGCCAGGGAAGGACTTCAGGCCAGGGAATCCACTCCTCCAGCCCACACTGTCTGTAAGTATAAGAGTGTGTGTGTAACTGTCTGCCTGAAACTGTGTGTGTGTAACTGCCTGAAACTGTGTGTGTGTAACTGTCTGCCTGAAACTGTGTGTGTGTGTGAGACTGTTTGTAAATGTGTGTGTGTGAGACTGTTTGTAAATGTGTGTGTGTGTGACTGTCTGTCTGTAAATGTGTGTGTGTGTGTGTGTGACTGTCTGTAAATGTGTGTGTGTGACTGTCTGTAAATGTGTGTGTGTGTGTGTGAGACTGTCTGTAAATGTGTGTGTGTGTGAGACTGTCTGGTGTGTGTGTGTGTATAACTGTCTGTCTGTAAATATGTGTGTGTGTCTGTCTGTCTGCCTGTAAATATGTGTGTGTGTGTGTGTGACTGCGTGTCACAGTCTGCCTGTGACTGTGTGTTACTGTCTGCCTGTGACTGTGTGTTACTGTCTGCCTGTGACTGTCTGCATGTAACTTTGTGCGTGGCTGTCTGTAACTGACTGTGTGTGTAACTCTCTGTAACTGTGTGTGTTTTTGGCTGTAACTATGTGTATGACTGCCTGTGACCGTGTGTGTGACTGTATATGACTGTGTGTGACTGTCTGCCTGTAACAGTGTGTGTGACTGTGTAACTGCTTGTAACTGACTGTGCTTGTGTGTAACTCTCTACCTGTAACTGTGTGTATGACTGCCTGTGACTATATGTGTGACTGTCTGCATGTGACTGTGTGCGTGTGACTGCTTGTAACTGTGTGTGACTGTCTGCCTGTAACTGTGTGTGAGGGGGTGCAGGGATTTTAAAAAGTTTACAAATTTGTTCAATATATATTTTTTTTAAATGTAAAAAATATAACACATTTTAAAAATTTAGTAGGTTTTTTTTTTTGGGAGAAGGGGGGGGGGGGTGCCAAACCCAGGACCCGCCCCGCGTGCCACATGCCCCAGGTATGCCCCTGCTATGGGGTGTCCCAGGCTAAGGTTGTCGTCACTACAGTTTTGGTCAAAGAACTCTCTAATGGTCACGTACCCATTCCCTTAGTTCAGGTTGCAACGAGTTCAAGTGTTCCAAGAGAAAGCTACACAATGCGAGGCAGTACAGTGTAGATGGCATGCCTACTCTGTATAAGAGTCTCCCCCCTTCTTCTTCGATTCCCGGAATCGTCGCCGGTATGCTTCGGGAGTAACTGCATAATGGATAAGCAAAGCCTCTTTAACAGCATGATAATGTTTTATATCCTCGTCACGGATAGCCCGAAAGGCTTCGGCGACTTTACCTGACAATTTGCCAGATAAAATGGTAACCCATTCCTCGGTGGGTACCTGGTGTAGTGCGCATTGCCGTTCAAAATTGGCTAAATATCCATAGATCTCCCGTTCTGTTTCTTGGAACTGTTTAAATGCTGCAAACGGTACCCTTTTCCGTTCAACTAGGAGTGCAGTCAGTAACACAGCCAGGCTTTTGGGTCATTGAGCTGCGGCTAGCCACAGTTGGTATTCTCTTTTTTTCTCTAGCTTCGGCTTCTACTGCAGTAGACACTTGAGTAGTTGGTTCTTCGGATGGGATCGGTCCATCGAACGCCAACCTTAGTCAATCGGCCCACAGGGTTTCGCCTTCTTCGATGATCGGTAGATTTATTTCGGCTATTGCAGCTGTCCGGTCCAATTCAACCAGTTCATGGATTAATTACCGTCGCGGTCAGTTACTAGCGGGATGCCCGCGGCTTTCCAATAGATCCTTTAGGGTCAATCTATTCAGCTTCTCATACTGACTCGTCATTAGTGTAGCACTTCCTCTGGGAAGAAAGTACCCTCCCACTGCTGCCACCAGATGTAGCGGTCACCCCGGATAGTAGAGGGGTATCCACCGCCAGAGATGTCCTTTCCCAAAATGTGAGTTGTGTTACAGCATTCCAAGTAAAGAAACAGGTATAGCTTGTATAGCAGTTCCCTACAACAAGAGACAAGACTCTGTGTTGAGGGTAAAGTAAGACTGATTTTAATGGAGCCACAGCTGGCCTTTTATGCAGGTCCCCATGCAAGGGGTTTCTGCTGACATATTCTAGGGGCATTCCCCACTGGACCTGAGAGGGGACAGCGACATAAGCACATACATAATTACATTACCTCTCAGGTCCAGGACATGCATAATAAAAATACCCCAAAATACATAGTTAACAATGCGGTACCCCTTCAAGTACTATATCCCCGGATAGTCTGGTTCTGAACACCCAACATATGTCGAATTCACTCAGATCCCATGAATGTAGCCAAAACGCCACCGGGGTATAGGTTTGACCGACCACACAAGAGGCACCTGCCCAAAACAGTTCCATGAAATCAGGCCGTGTGGTCAGTCCCTTTCAGGAGTACCAAAATACAACTTATAAGGCAATTAGTCGTTCGTGAAAAAAAGCGGTGATTAGCGCACACGTAGGAATAGCTCAATTTTACCTTACAAAGATTTTTTTCGGTAAACACAAAACAAATACTTTTTACACCTATATAAAGACAGACAAAGCATACATAGTGTAATCTGTTTAAAAAGTAATGAAGTGAGGAAAAATATTTCTTCAAACTCACAATTTTCGGAGCTATTAGTAAGTTAGCTCTAAACTTATAATGCCCATCATCTCATCTTTAAGGGGTATACTGATGTATCCACAATGTCCACAGGAACTTGTAGCTGGTAAAATTCCAGTAAAATTCAAAGTCCGCGGAGAATTAATAAAGAGTTTTTATTATTCTTAAAATAAAATAAGAAAAAAATGTATGCATATACAGGTAAAAAGTAATAAAAATTAGCACAACGCGTTTCAACCTTTCACAGGTCTTTCTCAAGTGCATCTGACTTCAACTGGACTAGAAAGCCCTTTTATAGCAAGAAATAATTAACACAGAGTACATAATTGTGAACAAATGTATTGCCAATACCACCCACTCCCATATATGGTCATAGCCGGAAGTGTCCGCCATTCAAAAGATGGCCGCACCTACGGCTATGAATCCCATTATTCTTGCCCTCCCCAACATGTCCGCTGGTAATTGTAATCTTATAAAGTCTTATTCAGTCTGATTCCTTCCGACGATCTCAACGTCTGTGTGCCGATACGTCACTTCCGGTGACGTATGTATTCTGATTCTCTTTTGCGGTCACATGGTTTCTGATGTCCGTTCTTTTTTTCGGGCTTATCAGAATTAAAGCCAATATATCCAGTCATTTTAGTTTATATACATTCCCTCAGTTCATAGTTGAATGTCCATACGAAAAAGGACAAAAAAAGGACAGACGAAATATATATTAAAAGAAGGGAGACAAAAATATATATGATATTATTTTACACTTTCCTATACTTATATCAAATGATAGAAAATTTTTCAATAAATGTATACAGATATATAAACAGGAGAAAAACATAGGTACACCTCAATTAAAATACATTAATAGATAAAAACAAAATTAATAATAGCAATGACCTTTATAAAATACTATTAATTTCAAAATCAATATTGAGACCCAAAGGAAATAAAGTGCGTATTTCAAAAATCCACTTTACCTCTTGGGTACTCAATTTTTTTGGAAGATCTCCCCCTCTCCAGTGAGGTTCAATGTTTTCAATAGCGTATCAAAACATTTTTTAGATAAGCACAATTCAGATCCAAAGTTTTTAAGTTTTTGCGCTATCTCTCCAACTGGAATGGCAAAAAATTATAAAAAATAATTTCCTTTAATA